GTCTTTTCACAAATCTGATTCACTCAAGGAATTCAAAACCTAAAGAGGAAACTCAGATAGGACAGACAAACGTTCTACTTCAGCACTTTTCAGTTAAGCAGCAGCCTGACCAGCCTGTGGCTGCTTTCTCCCCGCTACAGAACACGAATCCAGGAGAAGATACACGAACATTCTTCCTTCCACAACTTCTGGGTGTTCTGTGTATTTCCCTTCTTCCCTCCGAGATGCTGAGAGGAGGCGGCTTGGCACGTGGGGAAGACGGCGCCGAGGGGATGGGTGTGGCTGGGATGGGCTACCCTCTGCCAGCTGACGCAGGAAGTGGGGCTGACAGCAACTCTCAGAAGGGGCAGCTCATGCAAAGCTCCCCCAACTCACCCAAAAGTGGCAATGGCCAGGAACGAGGGTGGCCATCAGTAAGAAGCAATGAATATGAAAAGGAATCTATGTATGTATATGCATAACTGAAACATTATGCTGTACACCAGAAATTGACACAACATTGTAAACTGACTACATTTCAACTAAAAAAAAAAAAAGGAGGGAAGGAGGAAGTCTGGGAAAGGGGGAAGAAAACTCTAGAAGACTTGAAGCTACACAAGAACACCCAGTGCCCTTGCATGGAACATGCTATCAGAGCCTCTTTGCCTTCACGACATGCAGGCCAAATGCCAGGGCCATTACAGGCAGGGAATTTTAAAAATGAGACTCTCCCCCTACCGCCATTTATCTAATAGTAAAATCTCCCCTTCTCTTCTGACCTCCTTGTCTACTTCAGTTTTTTTGTTGTTTTTATGATAGCACTAGAGATTACTTTAAAAGAATATGGTATCACAGATGGCAAGTCTAAGAGGTACAAATTGACAGACACATACGGAAATTCCCAAATCGCTCTTATTAGAGTGTGCATGTCTAATTCTCTGACTCTGGAGACTAGAAATTCAGCTCCCATTTTTCAAAGCTTATAAAGACAGCATAATGCTGTCTAAATAGGCACAGAGGTGTTTATTTCGGTCTTCCCACTTCTTCTGAAGATTAATGTCACTCCTACTCTCAGAGCGGTTACTCTGAAAAGTGGTTTGATGAACACAGAGAATTCAAGAAACCTTGATTCTTGCCATCCTCAAAAGCAACAAAAGCTCATGACTCCCTAAGAAAGCTTTGGTCAGTCACTCCCATCACACCACAGAGACATTGGATGGACTTCATTTGTATCAGCACACTGTTTTTTCATTTCAGATTGTGCATCAACCAAAAGCACGGAAAATGAAAATGACGCTATTCAGTAAATGGGGAGTTTCCAGGCAGATTCGGCACTTCAAGTTTGTCTCTCCCTTTTGAACTAAATGTAAACGTGGATGGTGCTAAAATGATGTGATTACGAGACACAACAGCACCACCTTTCACAAGGTCAGGGCGGGCTGCTCACAAATGACCCATAAAGCAAACCACTCAGATGGAAAAGGAGAGGAAATATACACGGTGCAGAATGTTTTTTTTTTAAAGTATCAGAAAATCCCCCAACTCTACTGATTGTACAAAAAAGGGGGGGCACTTTATAGAAGTGTTTCCTTTCTCACATTTACTTAAACACATCATAGACAATTATCACCCACTTTTAGGGAAAAGACAAGCTCGTTTCTCCACGCTACCCTCTACCTGACCAACCTACTGTCAGATTCAAGCAATTCAGATCAGAACCATGTTTGTGGTCCTGTTCCTAACGGCTTAGGCCCACACCTGAGAAGCCCAGACATACATTTACTCTTTCCTTAGACAGTCACTCAACAAATATTTACTGAGTGCCCAGTACGGGCCAAGCAGCATTTTAGGTTTTGTGGACTCGCCAGGAATAGCAATAGTAATAATAATATCTCTGCTTTCATGGAGCTTGCGGTCTAGTTGAGGAGATGGACAATTAACAAATACATATATAATAGGTAAGGCGCTTAAAGGGAAAATAAGGTAGGCTGGAGGATACAGAAGGAGTGGAGTGGGTGCTGCTTTATAAAGGTCAGGGAAGGCCGCTTTGAAGAGGCAACTGGAAAAGTCCCACTTACAGAAGCAGAGAAGTTTTAGAAAGAAATAGAGCATATAAGCAAGGAGGCAGTGATCTAAGTAATAAATTTGAGTGAGTATGGAGGTGGACAGTTTTTAAAAAGTTAATTTCAAAAGCATCTCATATTCAATTTTCAAAAAGACCAAGGAGTATGGATCCTAGATTTAAGTGACTCTAACTCTATTCTTGGAAAGCGCTCAAATGAACACCTTTCAGTTGTCACCTGGTACCTGGAAGGGTCCTGTAGAAAGGGTAACGTGAGGGTGACATAAAATTATTCTTTTTTTTTTAACCACAAAACTGTGCTCGATGTTTAAAAAGCATTTGTAAATTGAAGTTCTGCCAAATCACTGACTTTTAGAAGCTGAACAAGGTAAAATGAAGGTCCAATCTGCCTCATCCAAGGCTGGGACTTGAAGCAATGCTAGACACTTAGCAGAATCTTCAGAGCTCCTTTAACTCAACTTTCTCATGTTACTCATCATGAAATGGGTCCCCGGGGCTTTTGGGGGGCTTAAGGTTCTACAGTCAACTTTAGCATCATGCATACAACCCAGGTCTCCTGACTCCTAAGGTCAGTATTTCTTGCCACTCCTCTCCTGTAAGAGTTACAACACCTTAGAGACAGTTTGAGACACTTTCAGGAGTAAAAACCATCTGCTAGAAAGATGGTGGCAGATTTGAGAGGTGGTTAATGGGGACAGAGAACTACAAAGGTAGTGAGTTTGGGGGGCAGTCTCTAAAAGCTTCTGAGGATGGACATCATTAATTCCGCCTCCAGGATTATTACTCGAATGGTCGTATACCCACCACCACATCCCCTCGTGCAAGCACACATTCTCTGAAAATCTCCTGCCTTCCCTACTATAATGGCACAGCCTTGGGGCACTCAGGACACCAAAGTAAGGGGAAAATATGAATTCAAAAACACACCAATATTACAAAGGGTTATTAACTTCAAAATTTACCAAGAAAAACTGGAACCTGCCCCCTCCCCAAGCAAATACAATTTGGAAGAAAAAGTCTCTAGAGTTCAAAACAATTTAGCATTTTCTTCATCTCTCTCAACCCACTCCATTTACAGAAGGATTTTAAAATGGCTAAGTTGGCCATGTGGCATCTTAAGTTTACACTTCAGAACTTCTTTGAAAACCTCACTTAATGCTTGACGTCTGGCATGGTATCACATGAGTAGTTCAAAGCAATGATTAAATAAAAAAAAAACCCAAAACATCATCAGATTCAAAGCAAAAGCCATCTTGATTATAATAACTGCACTGTTCTTTTAAATGTAACCTGAAACCTAAAGCATTTTTCCATAAAATATTTGTTTCCTAGGATTAAAACACTAAAGAAACAAACAAACAAAAACCCCAAAACAAAAAATCACCAGAAGTGCATTCTACCAGCTACCTGATTGGGAAAATACCTTCTAAAAAGACAAAACACTGCTATTGTAGCACACAGATCTAATAGGGTCCCCAAATTATGACTTTTAATACTGATAGAAACTCTTAGAATAAGATTTTTTTTTTTGGAAGATTAAAGTGTGTTACAAGATGCTCTGCTCCTTATGGGGATCCCAAACTAAGATGGCGACTTATCAGTAAACAAGAAGCATGGAGCAACACACAGACTTATAAACCAACTTCATGGGCCTCAGGGACTTGCCCAAGGTTTTGAAGTTACCTGACCTTGACCATCGGACCAGGAATAGAATTTAGGTCAATAATCCCAGGAACTGTGTTTCCATCAAAACCAATGGGATCATACACACAAAAGGAATGCGCATGAAAATATCAACATTTCCCATCACCCATTTACTCAAGGCAATGAGACACTTTGAATTCAATAAGCTTATTTCAGTATGACTGTTCAAGCCTCAGGAAACATGGATAAATAGTCATATTTAAGACAAATTTTTAGGAAATCAATAAAAAAATTCAGTGCAATTTTTTCTTTTCAATGGTAAATGCTTTTTCTCTCTGATATAATGCTTCATAATATTGTATGTTGTTCTTTCAAAATCATTTATGCAACTGGAAAAAAGCAAGTAATAAATGCCTGGGAAAGTTTCCTGACCGAATTAAGAAACTGAAAACTCAACACAAAGTTATTTATATATATACACACATACATGTTTGTGGCGCTTAGTTTCCTGAAATTTGAAGGTAATACGTTCATAGGCCATCCTGGGTTTCCTGAAGCTGTACTCTTTCCTCCTCAAATCTCTTCTAAACTTTTGTTTTTATGACACAGTCTAGCAACGCAGTTTAATCTCTAGAAAGCAGCAGAGCTAGGCAAACCAGAAGTTCCGTGGTAGATAAGCATCTTGAAGCCCATTGTGTTGGGATTCAATCCTGGATCCTAAAACTGCCCCTGAGGGATGACCAGCAGCTGCCACACCAAAACTACTCATTTCCAAACCCCAACTCAGCAGTCAGATAAAAAACCGACCCATTAGCCAATTGTGAATAAGAGAAACACCCAGAATAGCTGACCGTCCTTGCATACCTTCGATTTTTGAAAGCCAGAAAAACATTGCATTCCGATCAAAATCTCTAGATAAATAAAATAACTGCAGGATGGAAATCCTGGTGGGTAATCCTCAGCCTAGAGGATTTTACCCTCCTACCCACCAGCCAAAAAGAACTGCTGTAGCCCAGTTTCAAGAAGCTGCTATGAACTTGGTATCATTTAACTGCTCCAGGAGAAAGGGCGTTCCTACACGGAAAGGATTTTTATTCAAAGGAGATAATGAGCAGTGCCCCATGGAAACTCAAAGTCAAGTTCACAGCAAATGAAAACAGAACCTCTACCATAAAAAAACGAGGATCACCTAGAGCTAATGCTAAATACCCCCATCAGCACCCTGGCCCCCGCATCCAATGATTCACAAATCCTTGCAAGGCAAGCCCTGCGGACAGGGCTCTTGTTAACTTACAACATTCACTGTGCGCTGTTCACAGGTAGGCCCAGCCTCTCCTTCACCATGGAGACTTCCTCCGAGAAGCTGGAGCGCTCCTAGGCTCAGACGTGTCCTTTCTTCCTTTCACAGAGACAGGAGAAATCCCTAGCGTGGGAATAGAACAGAAGACAAAGGAAAAGGTGAATGCATCGTCAAATCCCTCGTTATCTCAACAGATGAAGTTCACGATCAATTAGACTGATGGATAATTCACCAAAGACCATTTTCCAGTACGCTTTGCTGAAAAAGGAAATGCAGTATTTTTGCTCTTGCCCCAGGAGACAGCCTGGTGAGGCCAAGCCTCTTCCCCACCGCTCCCCCCACCCCAGAAAGTTGAAGCCAGTTCTGGGAGGCTTCAGATGCAATCCCAGCAGAGATGCAGACTTGCAACACGGCCTCAAAATAAGCCCTCTTGCAGGAAGGAGGGGGCTGGGATGATCACCTTTTGCCATTTTCATACCTCACTGGGTTGTTGGGAAGATCAGTAAGATCTCTCTGGCAAGCACTCACAGTTCCCGAGAAGAAAGGTGCCACGTAAACACAAAGTGTTATTAGTGATCAGGAGCCTGTTACTGAGCTCTGGAGCCAAAATTAAAAGCCAGCTTTGGCAAGGCAACCACAGTCAACCATCCCCGCTCGGGGCACCCAAAGAGCCGAATGTTTCTCCTCCCACCGAGGATCAAAGGAAGCAGAGGACTGAAAATGGAGGCCTCTGGAATCTCAGGGAGAAAGAAAGGAAAGGCCTGGAGCAGGAAGTGAAGAGGGAAGAAGGGATGAAAGCTGGTGAGAGGCGCGTGCAGGGACGTGATTATTCGGTCCACGCCACACGGCTCCCTGGGATGGCTGATTTGCAGCGCTGAGTGTGCCGGCCGTTTGCAGGGCTGTGAAATTTTCCACTTGGCCACCTGCCATGTCCACCCACCGACGACAACACTTACACACACTGGCACACTGAGGCCCTGCTGCAGAAGGGCTGGGCGATTTCTGTTGGTTGCATTTAAAGATCTGTTCATATCCTGATTGCATTTACTCTCAATATCTCATTAATATTTTCCACACCTCGATTTCTTGATTTTTTTTTCCCTCCTATAATACAGGGCCAGGAACAACTTTTCCTGGGCCAGTATCATTAAGGTATTTTGACTTGTGTATTCTTGAGAAGCATGCTTGAGGTACAAGAACTTACAGGAGCAGCTTTGGGGACAACAAGAAACATAGAATTTAAGTGCTGTGCTAGGATCTAGAATCAAATAAATCATTCACAAGTGCCAGTCATGTTTTCCTTTCAGAGTTATAAGTGCACATTGAACAAAAATGGAAGTCTTGTATTAGCATTGTGGGTGTACTATTATTTTCGAGGGGAAAAATGTGGTCTCCTATCTCAAAAAAAAAAAGCAAGAAAGAGTCATATCAAATTTTAGATTTGGAACTGGCAGAACACTAACAAGTAGACCTCAAAGAAGGAAAAATATGGAGAGGAAAAAAACTAGGACAGAAGGGAGAAAGGAAGTGTCTTCTACTAATATAATTGACCATGACTTTTATAGTGAATACAATTTACAAAGTGTCTTTTTAATTGAGGTATAATTGATATATAACATTACATTAGTCTCCAGGGTACAAAGTACTTTCTCGTTAATTCATTCACCGGACAAATTTGTGTTTGGTGCTTCGTATCCACCAAGTCCTGTGTTCATAATGGTGATCACAATAGACAAAGGACGATGATGCCTTTAAGGAGCTCGTTGCCTCAAGAGAAACAGATATTAAAGAATCAGAGTACACTATTTTTAGCGTATGCATAAAATGTGAAAATTGAATAGGCATCCAGAAGGAAAACTAAATACTGTGATTTGCAATCATAATGGGGTACCTCATTTAGAAAGAGGAGCTTTCTTGAAAAAAGTGACACTTAAAAACAGGGAAGTAAAAAGATAAGCAGAAGTTAGCCAGACATTGAGTTTCCAGGTAGACGAATCAGCCTGTGCATTATGTGATCTGACCAGAACTGTACAATTAACTTGTTATTTCATCATTTTTTTCTTTTCTGGACCATTTCAACAGGGTCTCCTTGAAAAAGAAATGAGTGACAGAACTGTTCTCAGAAACTTGAAGTAAGAAATTATTCTTCTTTCCAAATGCAGGGCCATCAGAGCAACAGACACTAGTAGTTTCTGCTAGAGGAATGTCATTCAGTGCATGTTTTACACCTGATCCGACGGCAAAGCAAGACCCTGGCTTCCCAATGCAGCTTATGTCACCCCATCGTCACAGTGAAATAAGACGAAGCTCCCTCTTAACACCCACGTGTCACAGCTGGAGTTAAGAAAACCCTCCCTCAAAAGAGCTAAAAATAGATCACGTTACATGTAAAGTTCCGAAGAAGGAAAAAAAGAACTTAATACCTTGTAGTACGTCTGAAATTTGCTGGCTTCCTTTCGATCATTAGGATGTTTTTATTATTTCTCTTCTGGACCGAAATGGCATTTTTTTTTTTTTTGCCCACTTTCGAGTGTCCTGGTAGCCTTCTCTTTTGGTTCCTAGTGTGGTACCTATTTATTTTCTCAGGTAAGCAGCAATGATACAAAGAAATAAAAAGCAATGGAAATGCTGTGTTCATCTGAAGTATTTTCTGGTTCCCTATCATCCCAGAGCTGGTACCACTTAACTTTTCCACTAAGAAAAATCAGTAATTTGCTGCTTTCAACCTACAAAATGAAGGCATCCTCAGACAGGCTCATTCACGTTCTCCCATGAATGAAGTAAGCTTGAGAGTCTGTTTGAAGTGAATAAGCCAAACTTCTCTTTGAGTCTCTTTCCATTTGAGACATAGGATAAACTGTAACCTCTCCTGCATATTTGGTTTCTCATATAACCCAAAATATTAATAATCCTCCAAGTGCAAAGTCATGAAAAAGAAACCCTCCCTTCAACTTTGTAGTTTTGACAAACTTTAGCAAGCTTGGGAAGAAGAGAAAGAGCAAGAAGGAAAACTTTTTGAAGCCAAGTTGTCCAAAACCCCGCCATCAGACCTGGGAAATTACACCGGGCTGACCGTCTCATCCTCTGTCCAGAGATGAAAATGACACAATGCCAATTTCTCCTTCCCTTGACTGCCCACAGCGCTTACAGTCTCTACCACACATTCTGACCCCAGGTCCTTTTCAATTCAGCACTCTGTTATATTGTCTTTTTATACTCCACTGGATTTAAGTCTTGAAGGCTCAAAAATTTTATAAGCTCCTTGATGAAAGAATCCTGCCATGGCCTTCTTTTGCAGCCTCTTAACAGTGTCGAGGAGAAGAGCCTGAATTTAAATGATCCATATCCAAAACCAGTTCTATGACGTAACACTTACTCCTAAGAAACACTACCCTCCAGCTGTAATTTAAGCCCTTCTCACTCTTCTCTGTCCTCCAGGGGTTTGGAGGTCCTATGTGCCTATTATCCAAATGAGAGCCCTGCGTGAACTCGAGAACAATTAAGTGAAAACTTAGCCTTCTCTGTTCTGTTCTTCCAATCCATTACATTTTTAGTCACTAATGGCTTTTGAACAGTTGCCATGTCCTTTCAAGATTTACAACCCCCTCCCCTGCCACCAGGAGCTTTCATCCTTGATTCTCCCAGCTTTACAAAAGCCACTAGTAAGGAAACCCTGGTGGCATGCGGAGGGGAGACACGGATGCTCTGAGGCACTGGCTCTCAAACTGGAACTGCCATCAGAAACACCTGGGGGTCTTGTGAAACCACACTGCTGAGCCCCACCCCCAGAATTTCTGATCCAGTGGGTGTGGGGTGGGGCCAGAGAACTCACATTTCTATCAAGTCCCCAGGTGATGCTCAAAGGGACCAGATTCTGAGAACCACTGTTCTGTCAATTACACAGCCAGACAGAGGCTAAGGGTCTTTTGAGTATATTTAACTACTGTAAGATGCATTGGCATGAATGATACCTGTTCATTCCAAAGAAGTGACAAATGACCAAACAACCCAAAAAAGCCCGCACCACTTTATAATCTGGGAAAACTTTTTGTGACTCTTTGTCTCCTACTGGCACCAGGTCCTGTTGGGGTCATCTCTGCCTTCTGTCCCTCCTTCAATCTCTGTCCCACCCTCACCAAAAACAACTTCTCAGCCTACAAACATACTCAGTCATTACTACCCCTGAAAGACCTTCCTTGGACCCAGATACATTTCCAAATGGCTGTCACCTCTCTCCTGTTCACCATAAAACATGTTAAAAAAGAAAAAAAGTACTATACATTCAGCGCCAGGATTTCATCGGGTACATCTTAAACCCTTAGAGTTTGATTTCAACACTTTCTTTTTAACTGAACTTCCTTCTCATTCAAAGCTCAGGAATGGCTTCCTGTCTTCTAAACGCAGTGGCCCTTTCCTAACTGACTCTCTTAGAATATTTGATAAAGTAGTCCCTTCAATTTTTTCTTTTCTTTAGTGGACCAGCATTTTTGCCTGAACAGCATCTTTTTTGGAACAATTTCTCCCCCATTTTCCTCGTTATTTGGTCTGAGCTGAATTTGTGCCTTGGGTCCAAAGGTGGGCATATGATCTCGGCCCAGAGAATCAGAATACATACCCCTCTCACCACAACGACTGCCGTAGGGACAGGCATGTAACCGAAGCCACGCCAATCAAATCTCTCAGACTGGCTGGGACTAAGGAAAGCGGTGGTCCTCTCCATGGAGGCATGGTCTACTAAGAACTACTTCTACCACCTTGTGAGGAAAGCCCATGTAAGAATGATGCTTGACAGCAGGGAACAAGGCTGAACGACAGGACGTCTTTGTCCTGACGACTGTGAGGTCCCTTGGACCCAGCCATGCCAAAAGTTAGATTCGCCCCTGAATTTTTTAGCTATGTTGTATCAGACAAAATTCTAAAGTGGTCTCCAAATTGCCCCGTCCCCTAGTGCACACACACCCTAGGTATTGCATTCAAACACCACCTGGTGCTGCTGCTGGGTAGGGATGCTGCAGATAAAATTAAGGCCCTAAATGAATTGATCTTAAAATGGAACACTTATCCTTTGGTGGGGCTGACCTAATTAGGTGAGTCCTTCAAAGGGACAGGCTTTTCCAGGAATG